GGCCGCGCCCATATTTAGTTAGATGTGGTGTTAGAAAGAATAGAAACAAAATAGCCTTAAAATATCCAACATGGTTTATTAGAGAAACCAGTTTGATTACGACAAGACGTAGAATTTTGTCCAATGATCCCAAGCTACCCATCCTAATCGCTCGCACGTAATTATGTTGCTGTCGCGCTCGCACACTCACTGCAGGCGCCCGTCGCACAGTCGCGACAGCAATATAATTACGCGCGAGCGATAAGGATGGGTAGCTTGGGATCATTGGACAAAATTCTACGTGCTCACGGACCAGGCTTTAGATGAGGTTTTTTGGGAACCCCGTGTGTTACAAGAACTTGCCTGCATATACATGTGGTCGAGTAGCGACTCGCTGAACGCGCGCAGTTCTTCTAGCGTAACGTTTTGCACGAGCATCGCCTTGTCACGGAGCGAAATGTACCGCTCCAGGAGTATGTTCATGCGGACGTCCCTGTAACAATACAATGTGATAAATATTGCCAGTGGATTGTGTTTTATTATATTGTAACTAAGGTCGTCATTGGTGGTAACTAAGCTGATAGAACTGGTGTGAAACGAGTAATCACGAATTTCTATTATACATACAGGGTGTTTGGCGCATCGTGTGCCAAAATTATGTGGCGGATAGAATAGGTCATTTCCTATATTTTCAGCCCCCATAATACGTTCCATGCCAGGCGGCTACTTTTATATGAATTTTTTTAGTAATTTAACCAAAATACCCAAATTGCATCATTTAATTTCGATTTAAAAAAAAACTACTAGGCGTAGCCTCAAAGTAAATATTTTGTTTTGACGTGCATTGATGTAGGGTTGCATCAAATCTAAATTTACTGGCAAATATCATCTAGTTTTTTTTTAATTCAGCTTTGAAGTTTTCCGAAAAGTTAAAAATTGACTGAACAATTAAGTTTACATGGCTATAATAAAAAAAATAAAAGAGATAGCGATCTTCAGACTTTATCAAAACTTCTCTAGTATATCCCCATTCAAACGGTATACTAATCTTGTTTAAATAATAACAAGAACTTCACAAATTCCTTAAATTAGTGCATTGACTCTACTCGGACTGATATTAAAATTTTGAATTTTGAACCTTTTTTTTTACTTTACAATAAGTTCAAAGCAGGTAAAAACTTCACAAAATATTTACTTTGAGGCTACACCTAGTAGTTTTTTTTAAATTGAAATTATATGATACGATTTGGGTATTTTGGTGAAATTACTAAAAAATATTATAAAAGTAGCCGCCTGGCATGGAACGTGTTATGAGGGCTGAAAATATAGGAAATGACCCATTCTATCCGCCAAATCATTTTGGCACACGATGCGCCAAACACCCTGTATTATCTAGTCCTGGACTCTTGTCTATTTAGGTCTTTTAATGTAACAACATCTTTGTATTGAGTAGATATACCAATGTGTAAACTGCGTCATTTTTATTCGTGCGTGTACTCACTTGGCGAGTTATGCACGTTAGACCCGTAGCTTCAAGTCAAATTGCACTCTATTTCATTGCACCTAAAGAAGTTTTTGGGTGGCTTAATTGGCCAGCGTAAGCAGCTTTGTGCAAGCCAAGTTGCACTCTACAACGATGTACCTAAAGTAGTTTTTAGCGTGTACTCACTTTGTTAACTTGTGTGGGCGCAGCAACACGTTGTGATACGAGCACGCGCGCACGTCTTGCACCGCCTCGAACATATCCGAGGAGAAGTTTGTAGCTGTGCTTAGTGGCAGTGGAAGCCGGCCAAATTGCACTTTATTGCGTCGTGCCTAAAGTAGTTATTCGTGTACTCACTTGGCTAGCTTGTGTGGGCGTAGCAGCAACACGTTGTGATACGAGCGCGCGCGCACGTCTCATACTGCCTCGAACATATCCGAGGAAAGATTTGTAGCTGCTTTGCTTAGTGGCAGTGGAAGCCGGCCAAATTGCACTTTATTGCGTCGTACCTAAAGTAGTTATTCGTGTACTCACTTCGCTAGCTTGTGTGGGCGTAGCAACACGTTGTGATACGAGCGCGCGCGCACGTCCCGAACCGCCTCAAACATGTCCGAGGACAGATTGGTGGCTGCGCCGCGCATTTCTCGCGTCACCATGTCTACCAGTAACTGGGGACAAGTTTGCAGGATTTTAAACCTTATGCCGTCATTCATAAATAACGCTGACCAACTAATGAAACTCGCCCTATTAGATATTATGACTTCATCATCATCATCATCATTTCAGCCATAGGACGTCCACTGCTGAACATAGGCCTCCCCCAATGCTTTCCATGTTGATCGATTGGTAGCGGCCTGCCACTGCGGCCTGTATGACTTCACAAAGACAAAGTAAAGTATACAAAACATTTCCCACTACTTCAACTGTTGTGTAGTCAAGATCTACAGCCAATAAATCCAGACCAAGTCAGGAGAAAATTAATCTGTTATTGGACCCGCAACAAAATGAAATAGAAGAAAATAAAATTACTTAGAAGTGAAGGAAAGTAGATCCTACTTCTAAAAATAAAAATAAAAGTATTTTCCATAATCAGAATTATACAGAACTGTAGGAGTAACATAAAACAAAACTAGAAATACTTACGTGCAAATTCTGACTATAACCTTGCACTTTCATTGCAATCCCCTTGTCCGAGACATACATAGAATGTAGGAGATCCGCCATGTTAGCTGGATACACTTCTTCCTGCAAACAAATTACAACTCAGTTACTAGTTCATAATGGTTACTTTCATTCGATATTGTATTTTAATTGACGCAATAACAAATGTTACCTTTAGTCCTTGTTGTAATACGTCGTTCCATAAATCCATGAGGCATGCTCTGTAATAATTTTAAAAATATTAGAATTGCCAAATAAGTAACTAAAACTAAGGCATGTTACGTTATTTTTGTCTGAAGAGTGTCGGTATTTGAATGAACATTATGTTTAATAGCTAAAGCATTTTAATTTAAATAATATTTATTGTGTTAGAATATAATTTTTCTTTTGTATTTGTGTATGTATGAAAGTTTGAATTGTGAACTGAAGAATGTATATTTTTCAAATTAACTGGGTCCATCGACCAACCATCTTTAACTTTCATCAAATGTCCAAGTCCGTCAAACTCCATACAAAAACACTGGTTATAGTTAAGGTTAAAGTTACGGTGGTGCAACTCAGTATAAATAAGAGTTTATTGCTCAGCTATTACTAGTAATATAATGTGTGGTTATCTAACTTACTCTCTCGGTGATTTGAGGCTGAGCGGCGTGATGAAATAGAAATAAAGTAAGGCGGTGGGGAAGCGGAATTTGAAGTCCGGCTTGTACCACACCTCCATGTGGCGGTTCTTGCGGATTAAATTCGGTTGGTCCAATCTGAGAACAAGATAATGGTTCTTACTACATTACGATTGAGTTCAATACAGCGTGGTTACTCAGAAAAACGGTATCGGAAGTTTCGAATATTGATATCCCTCTCACGCTAAGCGAGATGACAACATGAGCGACGTTGACAGATAGACCCGAAACTATGTTTACATTACAAAGATTCGGAGTACTACTCCGATTCGTCTCGTATTAAGTAAAAAAAAAGAATGCATATAAACCGTTCCGTACTTTCGATACATCTATGCAATGCGGGAAGTTCAGGACGAGTCGTTGTGGAAATCCTTGGAGAATCCTTCACCGACAGTAGACGTCTTTAGGTTAATAAATAATAATTAACTTTTAAAAAAAAAATAAAACCGACTTCAAATGCGCGATCACAAAAAAAACTAAAAATTAAAAAATATTGCGTATAAAAAAGTTCATCCCCAATTTTCCACCCTTGGGGATGAAATATTTTCTTCAAATTCGCATGAAACCACCCTTTTGATAATACCTATTCAACAAAAAAATAA